TTGTAGTTACATCAGTTGCTATGCTGAAGATTTCATTTGGATCATTGCCTGAGAATGTTTACATTCTTCAACCTTTGGTCTTCCTGCCTGTTCCTATCCAGTGGGTTATAAGGGACAAATATTTACTGAGTATCTTTTCTGTGTTGGGAGCTATATAGGCATAATAATGAAGGAGACAGATATTGTTCTGCCTTTTTGGAGCCTTAAATCTAATAGTTTAACAAGACTTCATCATACAATGTGATGAGTGCTCTGATGATGGGGAGAAGTTAGCAAAATGACTATATGTGTTAGGAGTAGGGCAGAAGGTGTTGAAGAATGTGTCAGGCAGGAGTACATCACGTGAGCCGTATAGAGGGTGGAGGTGGGAGAACATGGTGCATTCCAGAATCTAAAAGAAGTTTGGCGTGTTAGAAATGTAATGTGCTTGAGAGAGCATGGCAAGAAATGAGGCTAGAGAGACATTCTGGACCAGATGGAGAAGGTTCTTTGTAAGCCATTCAGAACTGTTTGGTCTTGGCATATGTATTAGTTATCTATCACTGTGTAAAAATTACTCTAAAATTTAGCTGCTGAAGACAGTATTTATTATTGCACACAATTTTTTTAAGCCGAGAATCTGGGAGCAGCTTATGGGTGGTTCTGGCACAGGGTCTCTTATGAGGTTACAGTCAAGCTACCGGCTGGGGTTGCACTCATATGAAGGTTTGACCAGGGCTTCAGGATCTGCTTCCAAAATGGCTCACAGGATTGCTGGCAGGAGGCCTCAGTTTCTCATCATGTGGGCCTCTCCTTGGAGCTGCTCATGACGTGGCAGCTGGCTTTCCTCAGAACAAGTGATCCAGGAAAGAACAAGAAAGCAAGAGAACAACCAAGATGGAAGCCACAGTGTCTTTTGTAACCTAATCTCAGAAGTGATACATCATCAGTTTTGTCATACGCTATTGGTCACACAGACCATCCCTGGTACAGTTTGGAAGGCAACATAAGGATATGAATACCAGGAGTTGATAATCATTGGAGTCTAACTTGTAGACTGGCTACCATAGCCTGTATTTCTTTTTATTTATCTTAGATACTTTATATTTCTATACTTCCTGGACCTACAGATTCATGTTCATTGTTGAAAATTTATAGCCATTATCTCTTTTGTTGTTGTTGAGACAAAGTCTTTGTCTTTCACCCAGGCTGGAGTGCAGTGGCACAATCATAGCTCACTGCTGCCTTGAAATCCCAGGCTCAAGTGAACCTCCTGCCTCAGCCCCCCAAGTAGCTGGGACTGCAGGTTAGCACCACCACATCCAGCCAATGTGTGTATTTTTTTGTAGAGACAGGGTCTCCCTATGTTGCCCAGGCTGGTCTTGAATTCCTGGGCTCAAGCAGTCTTCTCACCTCAGCCTCCCAAAGTGCTGAGATTACATGTGTCAGCCACCATGCCTGGCAACAACCATTATTTCTTCAGAAGTTCCTCTCTGTAATTATTTCTGTTCCCTCCTTCGGAGATTCTATTATTAGAAGCATGTTAGGTCTTCTATTCTTCATACCCCTTAGTTTATCTATTTTTTATCTCCTTGTCTGACTCAGCATTATAGGGTAATGTCTTCAGATACCTATCTTCCAAGTCACCCATTATCTCTTCAGCTGACTCTAATCTGCTATTTAGCCCATTCGTTGCTCTTTATTTCAAAAACTTTTCATTTTTACAAATTTGCTTTATCCCCAAAATGTTTTTTATAATTTTTTTTGGTACATTCTTGTGATTGTGCCTTTAACATTTAATATCTAGCTCTTCTGTATTCATCTGACTATTCTAACATTTATGGTTCTTGGGGATTTAAATCTGTTGTTTACTGTTTCTGCCGACTGATGCTACTTGCCTTCCCATGTGCTTGTTGATTTTTAATTGCAAACTCATTATTGTATTTCTTTTTTTCTTTGAACTTTATTTTTTTTTGAGACAGGGTCTCACTGCCCATGGTGGAGTGCAGGGGCGCAATTATGGCTCACTGCAGCCTTGAACTCCTGACTTCAAGTGATCCTCCTGCCTCAGCCTTTCAAGTAGCTGGGACAGGTAGATAGCACCATGCCTGGATCATTTTTTAAATGTTTTATAGAGAAGGGGTCTTGCTATGCAGGAGACCCAGGCTAGGGATCTTGAACCCCTGTACCCAAATGATCCTCCTGCCTCAGCCTCCCAAAATGCTGAGATTATAGCCGCTGTGCCTGGCCTCTATGAATCTGCAGGAATTCTGTGTGGCTAAATTGAGAAGATTCCCTCTAAAGGGGCTTAACAACTTCTGTTTCTGCCAATAGTCAGAGCTATCTCTGACCTGGAATATTTTAGCATACCTCTTAAGGTTCTCACCTCAGTATGAGAGTCCCAGGATTAGCTCCCCCACCTCACTGCTGGCCCAAAGCTAAGTATTTCAGCAGCATTGCTATTGATATCAGCCCATAGGATAACCCCACCCCTCCCTGAATGTACCCTTCTAGCCTCTGCTAACTTTTTTTATTGGGGTAAGGTGGCTTTTATCCAGGATCTAGTAATAATAGGATTATTATTGAAGAGTTTTGAATGGAGGAATGACATACTCGGTTTAGAAAAATCTATCTGGTTGCCTTGTGGGAAAAATGTTGGACAAAAACAAACCTAGAGGCAGGAAGCTCAGTTACAGAGCTACTAAAACATCTGCATAAGAAATGAGGGTGGCCTGGATGGAGTAGTAATCATGGGGATGAAGCAATTGTAGATGGAATCAAGAGACATACGTGTAATAAATCCAAAGGACTTGTAGATTGATTGGATGTTGGGAATGAAGATGAAGCAGTGGAGACTGAGGGTTAGCTTTCTGATATGGGCGAGTAGGTGGATGGCAGTACCACTCAGTAAGATAGGGAACAGCAGGTTTGGAGGTGGAGGGAGTAAGTTCCGTTTTAGACTTATTCTGTGGAGCATCCCAAAAGAAATGTCCAAAAGAATGCTAGAAATACAAGAGTGAAGCTAAGGAAAGATTGTAACATATACTGGGGAGTCATTTTCAGCATAGAGCTGAGAATTGGTGTGATAATAGTAGATCAGCTTGCCCAGGAAGAGTAAGTTAAGAAGAGCCAAGAGCTGAATCTAAAATCTGGAAGCACACCAGTACTTAAGGACTTATAGAAGAAACTGAGAAGATATGACCAGAGAAACAGAAAGGAAACAAAAGAGTATTGTCATGGAATGCAAAGGAAAGTGTTTCTTCCGGAGTGGGGAGGGTTGGGGGGAGGTGGGGGGGGTATTGTTTAGCTCTGTCCGTTCTTGTCAAAGGGCCAAATAAGCTACATATAAAAATTACACATTGGATTTTGCAAAATGAAGTCATTAATGATCTTGGTTACGACAGTTTCAAAAGTAAGGTTGGGGCAGAAAATTGAGGGGAGAAGAAGATGTATGAAAATGAAACAAAATAGACAGTTCTTTCAAGAAGTTTGTTATTGAATGAAAAAAGTTCTGTTTTTTTTGAGACAGAGTCTCACAGAGTGGCACAATCTCAGCTCACTGCAACCTCTGCCTCCTGGGTTCAAGCAATTCTCCTGCCTCAGCCTCCCGAGTAGCTGGAACTACAGGTGCGCGCCATCACCCCCAGCTACTTTTTTGTATTTTTTGGTGGAGACGGGGTTTCACCATATTGGCCTGGATGGTCTTGATCTCTTGACCTCGTGATCCACCCGCCTCTGTTTCCCAAAGTGCTGGGATTATAGGCGTGAGCCAACCCGCCTGGCCGAAAGTTCTGTTTTTTTAAGATGGAAGAGGATCCTAACATGTTGAATGCTAATGGCAAAGATTCTGTAGAGTGAGAGAAATTAATATAGGAGAATAATAACAGAGTGAGCCACTATTTATTGTTAAGATTGATAAGCAAGATGGGGATTAGCAAGAACCTTGGACCATCATTTGATCTGTGTTTTATGGAATATATATTCATTCATTCATTCAACACATACTGAGCACCTTCCTTGTTCTATGCCTTATGCTGGGTGCTACAGAATGATGCATGGTTCATGTTTGTAAGGCACCCACATTCTCTGGACAAATAGACATTCAGGTGTATAATAATGATTGTTGTGAAAATGCTAAAATCAAGGAATGTACAAAAGTCTGTGGGAATACGGGGAGACAGTGACTACTTCTGATTGGGCAAATGGAGAAGGGTTTTTATAGAAGAGATGGGATTTTGCTAGGTCAGAATGAGATCTGACTCATTGCAGGCAGAGACATGAGTAAAGGAATGGAGGCTTGAAAATCCTGAAAACAACATGCTAGAATGTAATATGCATGGCTGGAATAGGCAAGAGTGGATAGAGATAGGGCCGTATTATAAAGAAACTTAAAAACTAGCCAATAGGATTTGGACTTTTCCCAGATGCCACTGTTTTCAAGTGTGGATTTCTTAGAACTCTGGTCCAGTGAGATGTTATTTGAAGAAAGTGTCCCAGGTTCAAATAAGCTTGGAAAATGTTACATTACTGTTTCCTCTCTCTTAGAGGTTTTCAGTATAACATCTCGTATAATAGGCTAGATGAAATCCTACAATAAGGAAACCTATTTGGCCGGATACAGTGGCTTCTGCCTCTAATCCCAGCACTTTGGGAGGCTGAGGCAGGCAGATCACTTGAGGTCAGAAATTCAAGACCAGCCTGGCCAACATGGTGAAACCTCATCTCTAATAAAAATATAAAAATTAGCTGGGTGTGGTGCTGTGTCTCTGTAGTCCCCAGCTACTTGGGAGGCTGAGGCAGGAGAACCCGGGAGGTGGAGTTCACACCACTGCACTTTAGCTTGAGGGACAGAATAAAACCTTGTCTCAAAAAAAAAAAAAAAAAAGGAAGAAAGAAACTTGTTTAATTTTATTTTATGCAGGGTTCCCCAAGGAATTCTTTCCATGGTGGGTGGAAGGGGATAACGTATTTCAGTAGTAAATTTTATCTCATGAGAATTTTGTTTTATTATTTTTTTCAGGCACGGTTAAGGCTTTATTGGGCATCACACAGGGCTGAGGTATAGAGACACAGCAAAGGGATCAGGGTATGTAGACGGTCTTTGAGGACAGTGCTGGGGAACTCAGGGATCAGTCTGGCTTCTCAAAGAAGAGACAAGCACTGAGGAAAGGCAGTCAGGTTGGCGTTAGTGCAGGAAAAGGGAGATGTTAGGAGGGGGACTTTGGTGGAGGAGAGTGAGGAGCTGAAGCTTTAAAGAGCCTCAGTGCAGGGAGGGCTCATGTTAGAAGAAAGGTAGACAGTGAAACCTTGGGGAAGAGAAGACAGTGGAAAGATGGAAAAAGGAAGAAGTCTGGTCCTGGGAGTCAGGCTGTTCTCCAGCCTTCTGCCCAGGCAGCAGGGTCGGCCCCTCCCTCCCATCTTCTGGCAACCCGGGCCTTTTGTGCTGTTCCATGTAGCTGACTTTCCAAACAAAAGACCTGGGATGAAACTGCTGGACTTCATGTAGGCAGAGATCTTCTTCAGACCCTCAAATCAGGAGATGAAGTCCTTCAGGTTTGGGAAGGCATCCAGGCAGTGGGGCTCAAATATACGGCTGTAGTCAAGGATGTCATAGGCGAGGAAATCCACAAAGGTGATCTTATCTCCTGCAAACCGTGGCCACTTCCCCAGAAACTGTGAGTAAAGCTTTAACTTTTCAGGGAGTTCCTCCAAGTACTTTGGCTTCAGTTTCTCAAATTCTGGGTCGTAGCAGATCATGACTAGCTTCATCCGGGTGTCCATGGTCTGGTTCTCCAAAATGTCCACACTAATCTTCTCCTCTTCTGTCTCCCCACACAGGTTGTGCTTGCGGGCAATGTAGTGCAGGATGGCGTTGCTCTAGGTGATCTTGTGAGCCCCATCAATCAAGTAGGGCAGATTGGGAAAGTCCAGGCCCAGCTTGAATTTGTCCTTCAGCCACTGGCTTCTGTCATAGTCAGGAGTGTCCCCCATCGTGTAGGTCTTTTCCTCGTAGCTTGAGTCTGTGTATTCCAGGAGTAGGCGGATGGTGTGGGCCAGCCCGTGGAGGTCCCGGTACCCCAGTGTCATGGGCATGGTGCTGGTTTTTGCCAGTTCTGCAAACAGGCCTCAAGCGGCGCCGGGGTCAGACTTTTAGTCGGGAGAAAGGAGAGGAAGGGCCCACAGCTAGTGCTCGACTTACGACCACGATTGGTTCCGACAGACCAGTCGTATCACGATTTGGTTGTAAGTTGAGTAGGCTATATGTACAGTACTGTGAAATGATGTTATAAAAATCTTTAAGTCATATTTTATCATAATTTTCTTTCATTGTTGTTATATATCATAATTTTCTTTGTTCATTTTATGCCATTTGTATCATTTCTACACCATTTTGTTTCTTATTTTTACATTCATCAGGTTTAAGTAAAACACTGCATTACCAGTACAACTGGTTTAATATTTGCAAAACATACAAAATTACAAAATACAGGTGCATACAAAAATACAAAATACAGGTGTAAAAAATGCCGTAGGAAACATTTTCCCAATTGCAAAACATATCAAAATATATAAACATGTACGAAACATTTTATTGGCCGCTGGTGCTTGGCTGCGGATCGTTGATGTCGTCATCTGAGGCAGCAGTTGGGGTTACCAGAGTTGGTTTTTTCATAAACATGCTGAGCTTTGTCTGAATTGTATGTTTCTTTTTTTCTTCATAAATTTCACGATACGGACGAAACACATTGTGCGCCATCCGTTCAATCCTTGCAAATCGTTCGATGTTTGGGTCCATTGCTTCGAAATGTATAAGAAGTTTATTGGGAGGGGTTTGATGAAAAATATTCAAGACACAAAACACAAATTGCTGTACCAAGTCTGGGATAACAGTTGAAATGGTGCACGCGGAGATGGTAGTGCTGCCGGAAGCTGGTCCGCACTGTCGTACGCCCACCTGGGCAACGTTTGCGCTGCCAGACGCGGAGCAGTTGTGGCTAGCGATTGTGGTCGTAAAGTCGAATGGTCGTAAGTTGCATAGGTCGTAAGTCGATCAATACCTGTATTTTTTTTTTTTTTTTTTTTAACTTTTAGGTTTGGGGGTATATGTGAAGGTTTGTTATATAGGTAAACTCTCTGTGTCATGGGGGTTTGTGATACATATTATTTCGTCACCCAGATATTGAACCTAGTATCCAATAATTATATTTTCTGCTCCTTACCCTTCTCCCACCCGCCACACTGAAGTAGACCTCAGTGTCTGTTCCCTTTTTTGTATTCATAAGTTCTCATCATTTAGCTCCCACTTATAAGTGAAACATGCAGTATTTGGTTTTCTGTTCCTGCACTAGGTTGCTAAGGATAATGGCCTCCAGCTCCATCTGTGTTCCTGCAAAGGACATGACCTTGTTCTTTTTCATGCCTGCATAGTATTCCATGGTGTATGTGTACCACATTTTCTTTATGCAGTCTGACATTGATGGGCATTTTAGTTGATTCCATGTCTTTGCTATTGTGAATAGTGCTGCAGTGAAGATGGGTATCTTATTAGCAACCTATGAGCTTTAGAACAGCTGCTACTGGAACCATTTAATGTTAACTATAGGAAGATATGATGAGTGTTTCTGGTGACTAAGAGAAAAATGCATAGGAAACAGGTGTTAACAGAGAAAGATCAAGTAGAAATCAGGAGATCAGATAGGAGGTCATTCAGATATTCATTCATGTGCCAGGCAGTGTTCTAGTTGCCTGTGATCAAAACAAGACAAAAATCCCTATCCTTGTGAAGCTTACATTCTAGTGAGGAGACAGGCAATAAAGAAGAAACATAATAAACAACTTGTATAGTTATGTTAGAAGATGCTAAGTGCTATGCAAGAGAAAAAGTCAAGTAAGTTAAGGGGGATGTGGAATGTGGATGGTGTCGGGGGGAGTGGGCCTCATTGAGAGAGATTTGAGCAGAAACTTGAAGGAGGTGAGGAAGTGAGCCATGAGGATGAGGTATGGCCATAAACGTTGAGGTGAGACACAGTGAAGGCTTGGAGGGTAAAGGCTGAGGAAATGGAGGAGGACTGAGAGAATGGAGAAGTGAAATAGCTCCTTCGAGAAACCTTATCAGGGATAATGGGCTGGATTTTGCAAGGACTGACCATAGAAGTGAGGGAAAATGGGGATGTCCCGATGCCTCTTGCTGTGTTGCCACCCTTATCCTCTCCACTGGCTCCCTCTTTCTGCTTTCAGACAAGCACAAATCTTCCCCTTTAATTGTCTTTGCCACCTTTTCCAAACACCTAATTTATCTTCTTTTTATAGCCAGATTCCCTTAAAAATGTTGGCTTCTCACAACTCCCATTTCTGGCCTGCCCACTCCTTTGGGAAAACCATTCCAAGCTGGCTTCTCCCACAACCACTGCTCTCTCAGGACACAAGTAATTTCATTCTACCCAAATCCAGTGGTCTTGTCTCAGTTCTCATCTTTCCAGACTGTGAATTTGAGACCATGGATCACTCCCTTTCTGTTGACATAAATGACACTGAACTGGTTGCCAGTTCTGTATCTATTTTTAAACTGTTTGCTACCTTCATAGCCCTTATCTCGGTTTGTAATCACCTATTTAATTATTTCTTTCTTTCTTTTTTTGTTAGGCAGTAACTCCGTGCCAGCAGAAGTTACATTTTATTTACCAGTGTATTTCAAGCATTAGTGGCGTATAGCAGGAGCTCAGGATATAGTCCTCAAATGAGTGAAAATGACAAAGTTGAACAAGTTTTCTCCATGGCTCTTCTGGCCTTCTATGTCCTTGTTTCTTTCCTGTTTGTGTTTCTTCAGTCATCATCCTCTCTCCCCTAACAGGGTGCTTTTCCTTAAAGCTCAGCCCGTAGTCTTTTGCTGCTTCTTTGAAGCATTTAGCCAGAGAGCTTGTCCATGTCTCCAACTTAACTGAAGCCTTAATTCAGATACCCCTTGGATATGCATCTCCTGTTCTGATCCATTTTTGAATCTTAGATTTTTAGAAAGGTTGTTCCAATTTACATTCCTACCATTTTCTTAAATCTTACAAATGTAAGAGGTAAAAATAGCATCTTGTTTTCATGTGCTGCATAGAATGAATTGTTTTCCATGCGTTTTTTTGGCACTTTGTTCTTTCTTCTTTTTGTAAACTGTTCATGTTCTTTGTCCACTTATGCTGGGATCTTACAATTTTTTCTTACATATTTCTATGAGCTCTGTAAATGTCAGTGTCATAACCCTTTTAAATCCATTTACCTACTTCAGTTTATAAACAAGGAAACTGAGACCCAGAGAAATGAAGTGACTTATCCAGGGCCACCTAGTGAGTTAGCACCAGAGATGTAATGAGAATCCAGGTCTCCTGGGGCAGTGTCCCTTCCTGGTTAGCAGACTGCCATTGTGCCCTGGACCCCAGCCATATGTCCCTTTATTTTATTGGACTGTCTCTATGGGTTCTGCCATCTGCTTGAATTTAACTGTTTTAAATCAGAATTTAGTGCCTTTTCTTGTATACCTCAAATGGGAGTTTTCTTTCAGTGTTTCCATTTGCGTCAATGTCCCTAGAGTTTTGCTCTCACATAAACCCATTAAGTGGAAATGTCCAGCAGAAAATTGGAGATGTGGAATTCAAGCTCAGATGCAAAATTTAGACTGGAAATACTTATTTGGAAGTCATTTGCCAGGAAGTGTTTGCTTACAATCATCTAAGTAGCTGAAGTCTCTGAGTAAAAGGAAAGATGAAGGGGCTGAAGGACTGAACCTGGGAGAAAATCTACGCAGGGGAAGTGGAAGGAAGAAGAGGAGCCAGGTAAAGAGGCTAAGGAAGTGTAGTTAGACAGGAAGAGAGCCAGGGCAGTACATAGGCATGCTGGCCACAGGGTGTTCTTAGAGGCAGGGGAAATGGGTGGCCTCAGTGTCCTCAAGTGTTGTGGGAAGTTGAGGGCCAGCTAGTAAAAAGTCTTTGGAGCGGCAGTTACAAGGCCTCTGTGAGTGGGTACCTTTATTATTATTATTATTTTATTATTTTATTTTTTTGAGACGGAGTTTTGCTCTTATTACCCAGGCTGGAGTGCAATGGCGTGATCTCGGCTCACCGCAACCTCCGCCTCCTGGGTTCAAGCAGTTTTCCTGCCTTAGCCTCCCAAGTAGCTGGGACTACAGGCATGCGCCACTGATACCTTTATTATTAAGGAAACCAAAGAGCACTGGGTGTCGGTAAATAGCTGATCAGGCAGTGGAATTATACCTTGTACTCTCAGCCTGGTGAGCAGTCTATATATATGAATTTTCACAATACTGTATTTATGAATATTCTGGGAAAGTTTTGTCAATCGTATCTGATTTCAGAGATGCTGTATTTTTGTTTATGATTGATTAACAACAACAAAACCCCTCTTCTTACAAAGTACTTTCACATCCATGACCTTGTTTGATCTATATAACAGTTCTGGAAAGTAAGTGTAATTTTTTTTCATTTTACAGATGGAAAAACTGAGGCTTGGTGAGTTTAAAGTAACTTGCCCCAGGTTAGACAACCAAATAATAAGTGACAAAGCTAAGTTATGCCATCTCCTGAAACCTAAAGAGGAATAAAAGGCTAAAATCAAAATGATGGTAGGACTGTATTCCTTTCTGGAGGCTGTAGGGGACAATCTGTTTCCTAGACTAGTTGCCTTTTCTAGTTTCTAGAGGTCACCTTCATTTCTTGGCTTGTGGTCCCCTTCCTCCATCTTCAAAACTTGCAATGGTAGGTTGAATTCTTCTCACATCTCATCTCTAAACCATCTTTCTGCCTCTTCTTTACTTTTATGGACTTATATGACTAGATTGGGCCCACTTGGAAAATCCAGGCTAATCTCTCCATCCCAGAATACTTACCCTGAATCACATTTCTAGAGCTCCTTTTGCCATATAAGGTAACATAGTCACAGGTTCTGAGGATGAGGGCGTAGTCATTATTGAGGACCATTGTTCTGTCTACGATAATCCTCAAATTATGCCATGCTTTTCAGGCTTCTGTGCTCTTGTTCACGCTACCTCTTGTGTTATTCCTGTCCCCTTGAGTTATTATTATTATTTTTGCAAAAGCACTTCAAAAAATCTGACAGAAGCGCCAGAGCATCCAGCCCTTGTTGGCTTTGGAGCTGGGAGTTGAGTCACAAACTAAATTAGCATTAGCTGA